CCTTCAATGGAAGAACAGTAAGTTATAGTATGCTCAAACCCTGAGCTTTGTTGTTGTTTGAATAATTAATGTCTTTAAATTTGCAGATTAAGATTAGGTTTAGTTTTGAAGGATGAAATGATAAATACAAAAGAAAACCCATCAAACATTCAGCTGTGTCTGTTAATCATTATGGGTGCTCTACAGCAGTCTTTGGAAATTCTGCGTAGGAGAACGGTGCTGAGGTGCTGTGTTACTGCAAACTGTCTGTGCCATGGGATGTGTGATTTTAATTGGCATAGGATCTTGGGAGAGAATTAGCCTTTTATGTTTTGAGTTGTTAACAATCTGCTGGCCTTTTCTCTCCAACTCTGATGACTGGTAATTGTTTCCCGCTTTTGAGTTGGTTTTGGTCCCCCTCTCCCCCCTCCCCCCCCCATTAAGGATGTAGACAGCAGTCTAAACTTGTTTCAGTAACTGTCAAATATTATCTGCTACAGTACAGAATGGGCATTTTGCTGTTGAGTTTGGGCAATAGAACTTTTAACGTGTAACATTTGAAGACCACTAATTCTCTGTTCTCAACAGCATATTGCAGCTATTACAGTTGGCTGTATTCTGCAGATAATGAAGCTAAGCCATATTCTAGGACAGCAAGATCTTTATTGTCTTAAGTTGCCCATGGTTTTTAACTTGTCTGCCCCTCCTCCTCCTCCTCCTCCCTCAAATCCCCCTCTTCCAGAAACAAAGACTTGTTTGTTCCTTCTCTGCTTGTGAGGTCTTTGCAGACTCTGCTGTGTGGGTGCAGAGCCCCTTATTTAAATGTTTTCCATAGCCATGGAAGGTAAGGAACAGGATGCATTAGAAAACTGGTAAGTCCTAACTGATAGATAAATGAAGCCCTTTGCCTTTGAATTCAGATTTCTTAATAAGAGCTGTGCGTGTCAGGATCCTCACAAACCCATAAGGTGTGGAAAAATAAAATGCGCTTATCTGAGATGATGTTGATAAATGTGTTCTTTAGAGTGCAGATTTCTACAGTTGTGTCCTTAGTAACTAAGGAAGAGTTGTGAATTAAAAAAACACATGAACAACAACACAACCCAAAACCAAAACAAACAAAAACCTAAGCCCAACAGTAATAAAAACTTTAACCCCACTGTTTTTTCCTGTCACTGGAAATGAAGTGTATTTTCCCTATTTTCTTTAAATATTATGTTGGAAACTATAGAGAATTACATTCCGTTTTCCTTTTTGCCTTGAAGATACTTGTGTAATCAGCCAAGATGGCTGAAAATCATTCAGTGTTACTAGCGTTGGTGGTTTTTTCCCCTGACCCTTCACTTGGGTGTGTTGTTAAGTCAGTAAAATTCAGTTAGCAGTATCTTTTTAAATTGTCCAACCTTTTAAGTTTAATTTCACAGTCAGAATAGTTCCATTATGTGAAAAACATCTCCCTGGTCTGTTCTGAGGACAGTTTAAAATCTTGTCAATTTGAAGTCTTTTGCAGTTGCATTCTTGAAATAATAAACTGCTCAGAAAAATCCTTCTAATGGGTACCTGAATGAGGTCTAGAAAGTATATTTTTAGGTTCAGGTTCTGAAGAGTTACAAAACTATATAATAATTTTCCCAAAATATTTATTGATGAATATTAAATATACATTGAAGTCTCAGTATCTTGTTATGGTATTTGTGGTTTAGATACACTTCTAGTTTAGAAACATTACTTTGAAAATGCACATTAGTAGACATTTCAGGGATCTAGGATGAGGGAATACAGTGAAAAACATCAGTCAAACATGGTTTGTTTCTTACAGTTTTAGTTGCAGTGTCAGTAGATGAGAAGAATGAAGCAAACTGTGATCAGAGAGAACCAGAATAATAGAAGCAGCTGTCAGAAAGATAAGAATACATAAAATATTAAGAATTTGGCATAAGAAGGAAGTTGGTTCCATAGTAACACTTGTATGGTACATGCAGGAAAACCAAATTCGTAACATGTTGAAGGGATGTTAGGGATACTGCATTTAAGTGTTTAACTAAGGTTAGAAACTGTAAAATTTTTATGAGGTGATCCGTAACATGACTTGGCTGTGAACTGCATGAGGCAGGGGCTCCGAAACCATGATTATATAAGTTGGAGACGAGGCCATAAAGGTGGCTTTTTTAAGTAAAAGAAAATTGACATTCTTCAGCTTTGGGTACTTAAATTTTACAAGCTAGGTAGTTTGCTTTTAGCTTAGATGTGCTTCTTTCAGGTGATTGTAATTTTCTAACCTTTGTCCCTCTTTACTTTCCACTGTAATTGACCTTCCATCTTGTTTAATCGCAGGGTTTGAATCCTGGAACTTCTGAAATGTAGCACAGACTTCTGCTTGAGTTGCAGAATTAGCTAACAGAAAGAGAAGGCTGTTTTCTGTTGTCTCATACTAGCCCTTTCCTTGTCTGCGTTTAAAGTGAAACAGGTTAACGATACGAAAAACAAAACGCGTGGTCCTTGTTCGAGACTTGATATGTTTCTTGGTAAAAGAGACAAAGGAGCAGATACTCCCGACTCCAGTGGTGTGCAGATTGTCTAAAAGCTGCTAGGTGGGCTTTCTAGCTTCAACTTCAGCCTAATTTGGTAAATGTAGCTATTCCTGTTGCTGTCAGTCTTCCAGCAGGGATTGGCCCAGTGGAGGGCAAGTGGAGCTTGTAATTAATAGTTCCCTGCTCAGATCCTTGCAGGACAGCTGTTGGTGCTGGTACTGTTGAAACTTACACAGTTCCTGGTGTCTTGGGGCATGTGAACCTTCTGTGTCTGTTCAGCAGAGCAACAACCTGTCCTGCTGCTGGCCTAGGTACCACCGCTCATGTCACAGATCTGGTTGGTTGGCTTATCCTGGTCACCTCTTCCTGAAGTTCAGTTTTGATGGTGAAGTGGTACTTCTTTTGAAGTTGATCTTTTAAGATCAACTGCTTGATTTTAAGCTTTCATCCACAGTGGAGTTATCTCCCCTCTATGCCCCCCCCCGCTGCGACAGGATAGGACTTGCAGCTTGAACATCTAATGCTTTGTATTCACTCTGTTGTTTCTACTTGGTACTGAGATTCAGTTTCTATTCCTACTTTACCTGTGCACTCTACTTGTAGGAAGTTTTATCATGATCGTATGTATGAAGCTTTCTTGCAAGTAACTACACAAGACTATTTCAGATTGCTTCAAGCTATCTGACACTTGATTTAATTTTGACTTGACTCATGAAAATGTGACTCATCTCTCCATTAGACTACTGATTCTGTGCTGGGCCTATAGAATAGTTGAAAAGGTAGACTAGAGAGACGAGTAACTGGTTTTTTACTTTTCTGTTCTCACCCCAGTGAGGATATGGCATTTCCTCTTCGTATGCTACCTCTCAAAGGAAGGATGAGCTGTGGAAGGAGGAGAAAGGAGCAAGCCTGTGAAGCAGCAGCAAGTTTTACTGTTGAGATAAATGTATTTAGGCTTTTGGGGAACAGAAGAAAAACACTATTGTAAATTAAGTTAAACACTCATAAGACAGGGGAGACTGAAGGGTTTTTCAGAGAAAAAATGATACTGATCCTTTGTGAGAACTCTCCTTTATTCTGATAGGTAGAAGTGTTAATGTTCCAGGAATCTTCTCTATATGATGAAAACACTGATTGAGACTGACACAACAGATGGCTTTCTTTGCACCGAATCAGCCTGTCATCCTAAAAGAAGCTCATTCCCTGTTTTTCCAAGTTCCCATAAACCATAATCCTCATTCCCAGGGAAACAAAAAAAAAAGAAATCCATACCACTCTGCCATCACTGCTTCAACAAATGCATTCTGCAACATACTGTGAATGTTAACAGATTCAGGCTGTTCTCGACAACAGGATAGAGAGCTAATTCCAAAACTGAAAGCCCCTGAAAACAGTGCCCTGGTAATACAGCCTTTCCTAGGCCTCTGTTTCCTAGCCCTCAGGCTTTCCTAGCCCTCTGTTTCACTATGGGAACTCCAGTGCCTCTGATGAATTTAAACATACAGGTCTTGAGTGGGGAAAAAAGGGCTGTCAAAGACACGCATCCCAGTAATGCATTATTTTATAAAATAAAACTGTCTTATGTCTTGCTCTTCTGGGGGAAGGGAAGATGAGTTCTCATTGTGCATTAGGCATGCAAGATGACAATTTTTCTTCTCCACACCCCAGAAAAGATGCATCATGTACTTCTGTGGGGTAAAAGAAAACGAAGCATCAGCAAAATGTTTCCTGTATTGATGGCAGTATTTTGGCTGTGTAATTCATCTGTTTATGATGATAAAGCTGCTTCTCTACCAGCTCTAATTTTGCATAACAGGATGCCCTCAGTGGAGCCTGTAACACTCAAAAGTTGATGTGACAACGATGTAAATGATTGTTGCATGACCTTGGGGTGACATGGTCTAGTGTTTGGGCAACATGGTCTAGTGGAAGTTGTCCTTGCCAGTGGCAGGGCGTTGGAACTAGATGATCTTAAGGCCCTTTCCAACCCTGTTCTATGATTCTATGACTTGCACCACATTGAGAAGAATGGTAGCTTTTAATCAAGTGTAGTTTGATATAAGTGAGATGTTTTGTTATTCTGTGTGTTCTCAAGTGTAATGATTCTAAGATTTCACATGAATAAGAAAAGTGATTTTGTATTATTCGTGTCTAAATTGAGAATAGTTTATTAGGAAGAAGGTAGATTCTTCTCATTAAACCTGAAATATTTTACTGATACTTTGAATTTTTCACCAGCTTACACATTTGAGTGTTTTCAGAAGCTTTTGGAGCAAGTGTGTGCTCTTAAGCATGAGACTCTTAAATTGATTTTACAGGAATAACACATATGAGCAAACATTTCATATTCTGAACATCAACATAGCTGCATGTTTTGTACTGTCATGGCTTGTAATTTTTAAAATTTTTAATCTGTGCCTTCTAAGGATACTACTTTCCTTACGTGTCTTTGTATTTAATTTTTAAATGTTTATTGGTTTGGTTCCTTAGCCATGAATCAGCGAATCAGCCAAAGTGCTCCAGTGAAACAGCCACCTCCTCTGGCCCCTCAGAGTCCCCAGGGTGGTGTGATGGGTGGCAGTAGCTCCAACCAGCAACAACAGATGAGACTTCAGCAGCTACAGATGGAGAAGGAAAGGCTGAGACTGAAGCATCAAGAACTGCTTCGGCAGGTGAGGCCACAGGTTAGACACCTACTTCCACTATTTCTTTTGTATGTTGTGCTTTGTTTTCTCTTAAGCTGTTGTTTCAGTAAGTCCTAAATACCAATGACTGTACAAAAAGCTTTGAGATCTAAAAAGGTCTGAATTCATTCTGTTACTGGTATCAGCTTGGTAGTGGAAGCATCTGACTTAGCAGACTGAAAGATTTTGCTTTCCTCCCTCATTGCTCTAACAAAACTCTCCAAGAAGAGGCTTCTTTACTGTTAGGATGACATCATGGACTGTTGATCTGATTGGATATTCCTCGTGAGATTGTATTTCATGTTCATTGAGTTCTGAGACATGAAAAAAGCAAGAAGTTGGTTCCCACAGCTGCTTTAGTTCTCCGTAAGTGGAGGAAAGTCTTTCACTTTTAGAACCTCTCAGTCTGTATGATTTCAAAGTGCTTTTACAGTTTACGCAAGATGCATTGAGAAGACACCTTGTTGATAAAATCTTACCTGTTAAACAGTGGAGTGGAGCAGAGCATGAAGCAAGTGAATTACTCAAGCTGCATTTTGAACCTGTGGTTTTCTTATGCTGAAGAATTTCAAACTTGATAATGAGGCTTTGAGCTATTCCTTTCAGTATTTTTCTACTGTATGAATATAGCTGCAGCAAATGTTGAAGTGTAGGACTGGACCCTGGAATCTCTGGATTTTGGATTCGGGCATGACTTTAAGCCTTCTGCTTCAATTTTCCCATCTTAATGTTTCAAAGGTTAATATCGTCTGTGCTAGATTCTTAGGATATTCTTTGGGGTTTTTGACGCTGGTAGAGAAAGCACTAATTTTTCTTTGAAGAAAACCTTAAGTCTTACCCTCTTCCCTTTCCACTTTGGGTGATGGGCCTTCTTTCAGGAGAGGATGATATCTTAATGTCCTCAAAGACAGCTTTTCTCATTCTTCATCACCTGTAGTATTCTGTCCTGAAATCTGACTCCCGTTATCCACTTTGTAGTCAAGTTCTGTTTTGTAGGAATCTTCAGCATCTCTTGGTGTAAGATGGGTCATCTTTACAGCCATTAACTTTTTATAGTACTCTAGGTTAAGAATACATTGCAAAGGTGGCATCAGGACTTTCTCTCTGCTTAAGCATCTGGGCTTCTGCTGTTCCTGCTTTGCAACTAATCCACCAACAGACATTCTACCCTGTGCTAGCATGCTTCTAGGTAGGCCTTCTAATTGTCTTCTTGCCTCAGTTGTCATTGAGAGCCAGCCAGTTCCCTTCATGTTGTTCTCCCTGGTCAGTAAATCTCTGAGTTCTGTTTCAATGTGTTGTGATTTTCATAGTTTCTTGACTCCCTCATTCTGTCTCATCTGGCCTGTTTGGGGGCTTGATACTACAAGATGGTGTTTATAAAGACAGCCTGCATAGGCAAACCATGCAGCTAAAGTAATTTTTATCCATCTTATTTTTACTCTTAGGCATTGCGGAATATCAATCCCAGCACAGCAAATTCTCCAAAACATCAGGTAGGCTCTTAACTGATGTTTCAGCATAATTAGAAAAATAGAAGCGTTAAATCAGGCTAGCAGGGTAACTTTTTGCTACGTGAAGGCATTCTAAAAGAGGCAAATGAACAAAAAACCCTACTAGCTCTGCTGTACACATTTTTGGACCATTTCTGGCCATGACCCTAACATAGTTTTGAAGAGTGCTGCACTACCACAACTTTATATCAATACTTAAAAGCAAATGAGGAATTCATTGCACACTTTTCTGCATTGAAAACAACCTTCTTGTTTAGCATTCTTGAGGATACTGCTGGTTCCAGTCCTGATGTCATCAAGATGTGTATTTAAAGCAAACCTCCCCATTATATCTAGTAGTTTGTGACTTTTAAGTACTGTTCATATGAATGTTCTTATCAGTTCATTTAAACAGGTATGATCTTAAAGATGGATAGCTGTAAGCAGCTGATAAAAAGTCACTTGAAATATTTATGATTTTTAAGCATGCACAGTGTAGCAGAATTATTTAAGAGATTACATTAGGAAAATAACTGCTATGGGGATGTAATACGTAATTATTCCAGTTTGACAGGCTCCTGCATAGATCTATTTTCTGTGTAGAAAACGATAGTTCTCAGAAGCTTCCCAAGCTCAGAGCAAAAGAAAACTTCTCCAAATGTGAAGGATAATAAAGTTTAATGTAGACTTTGTTTAGGCTTTTAAGAAGTTGAATATGGAATGAATCTCTGAAAGTGGATTTATGGATATATTCAGAGAGCTTCTTGCTTGCTATTGCTAACATTCCTGATCTGCTGGTTCTTAGGACAATATTTATACTGGCTCATACTGTAAATTGTTTTTCTAAGAAAAAACACTCTACACACTAGGCAAGAAAAAGAACAAAAGAAAGCATCCTGTGTTCGGAAGTCATGAGTGCTGGTATACTGTCGCATTCTTAAGAGTACTGCAAAATTTGTACATTAGTAGTTCTCCTGAGAAGATCATCTTCAGAATAGGAACATCAGACCTTAGAAACAGTACTGACACCATGGAAGTACTGTCCTGTTTGGTAATATCAGTGCAGCTCTAAAACAGAAGCATTTTAATTGAGGCATAATAATTTGATTCACTTACAGAGCACTGACCACATAATGATCTTATCAATCAATACTAGGTCCTATTACAGAGGAGAAAAAAAATCCTTAGGAATTGTTGGTATACAAGGGAATAAACAGAGAAGCACATTCCCCCATGCCAGTTGGAAACACCTAATCTTCTACCATAATTAGGTCAGACGGGACACTTAACTGAGCATCAAAAGAGTATTCTATGTTTTCTTGTATGCCTGAAGCCGTGTCATACAACTGTTTGCTTTTCCACAGTAATTCATTCCCGTTGCCAACTCAGAAATGTGCAGCTGATTGATAACTTTGGGATCAGTTTCATACTTAGTAAAAGCAGAACTTCTTGAAATTTTGGCTTAAAATACTAAAAAGCTGCAAAAACTCAAAGGGACCTTATTAGTAATTCAGTAAATGTACGTATAGTAGTCACTCTACATTCTTTGTGATGGGAACTGATGAAAGATCTATGCAAAAATCAGGATTCCAGTTACATATAAACAGGCTGCACACTAGGCTTACCTGTATACTCACCTGCCTGGGATCAGTTTTATGAGTCAAGCTGCATTTGAGTGATCTGGTGGATAGAAAAGTAGGCAATCGTGTCAACTTAAAATCTCTGTAATGCTACATTAATTGTGTTGTATCATCTACATGTATTTTTTGTGTTTTCACGCATCACTTCAATCATGTAATGAGCAGCCACATGTGGAACTGATTCTGGAAGTTGTTCTCTAAATGCTTCTTGAGGCCTTGTACTAGGCAGATGTCATTGTCTTCATCAGTGATGCCATTACTGAGGTCCCACTCTATACATCCTATAAGGTCATATCCAACCTTGTAAATCTGTGAAGAATCTCTGGAAAGTACTAACTTTTCTTTGCTCAACTTCATCTGTTTTGGCAGATCATTTCTTTCCTTTGTGGAAAAAAAAAAGTTTATAGAGAAATTATCTGCTTTTGTGATGACGAAGTTGTGCTTGGGGGAGGAATGATAACTTCTCTTGCTAAATTGTAGATGTTTTCTCAAGGAATACTGAAAATAAAATTTACATATCTTCAGTGCTCTTAATTCCGGGAAGACTAAGTCTATTTTAGAGGTGTTCTGTTTGTAAAGAAATGTTATGATACCAGCATTCTTGAAGCTTGGCTCTAATGAAGTGTCTCTTTTATTTGAAATAAAAAACCGGAGAAATGTTTCTTAACTTTCAATCCGATCTCTGAGCTTTCCTTAATTCCAGAATCAAATAGGCTGGAAGGGATTGGTGAAGGTCCTTCAGTCCAACATCCTGCATCCAGACCAACCTCCTCTTCCTTTTGCCTATGCAACCTGGATGCAGTGCCATTGTTGTATTGGTATCTTGGCAAGTTTTTCTTGGGTACTGAACTGTGCCCTTGCCAGTTTTTATCTGCCTGTCACGATACTATAATATCCTGTAGTGACAGTAACACTCCAGGTGTTATGTGTGGAGGCCTTAGCACTTAAATACCTTCTGGAAAGATTAAACAATTGCCCAGCTTCTTCTTTTGTTGCAAGTGTTTATCTTGTTTAAATGAGGATGTATTTTACTATGTTTCTAAAAATGGCCAGGTCAAAGGTATTTGAAGCAAAAATTATAACTCACATATTTACTGTATATAAACAGGAGCTATTGGTACATCCAGGGGCATACATCTGTCCAGTTACTTATGCTCATCATCAGTTACCTATGAACATCTTAAAGATGCCTGCCTCTCTTAGTTAAGAGATTGAACGACTTGACTATTTTTCCATCCCCACTAGCTCTCCTTCCATTTTCCTGCAGTTGGCATCCAGTTGTCAAGAGTGTCTCACCTAAAGCAGATGTCAGTCAACTTTTGTATAAATCATAAAATTGGCTAGATGTTAGGTAACAGATTTCTTGCCTTCCGGTATACAATGGCTGAGATAGAGGCAAATAATGTTGAGGCACTGATGGCATTATTCTTGGATGTTGTGTGCACACTACTTTCTTGTGCTGAGATTGGAAGATCGCTTGTCTGCCACTAATATTAGGGTACTTTCTATAATAAGATCAGCATACTACACAGCTGTTTATGTGATAAGTTCCTCTGTATATGTTTGCTCATTCCATATGTACTGCTTTTTTTCTAGCATTAAATGGAGATACCTGTCTGAGAACTAGATACAGCCCAGCTTCCTTGCTTCTCTGCTCAGTTGTGCTTTCCAACTACTTTTCTGTTATCTCTGTGCTGCTTTCGTTGTAGTTCTGCATACCTGGAATGTGCTGTCTGTTTGTTGTCTTCATTCTTTTGTCCTTTATATTTTATGAACTACCTCTCATATTCTCTGTCCTGTTGCCCCAGACTTATTGCTTATCAACTTTTGAGTGACATTCTGGAAATTCCCCTACTCAGTGAAGAATCTTCAAAGAATCTGTTCCAGGAAAGTATTAATTTCTTAGGACACTATTACTATTTTTCAGTAAGAGATTTTTTTTAAAGTCACTTTGCATTTATATCAGTACAAAGCAGTGTTGCTGTCAGGTGCGGCCATTTTCTAGAAAGTAAGGAAGGCATCATTAAAAACAAGTATAGTCTTGAACTCTGTACTCTTGAACTTCCATGATGTTAGAGAAGGTGGAAGTTTCACTGAGGACTTGGTTTGGGGGACTTTTTGTTTTGTTTTGGGTTTGGGTTTTTTTAATCTTGTAATGTCTTTCAATAATAAGATATGCTTGTGTTCAAATCTTAGTGGAAATGGTGGGCAACAGTTATTTTTGATTCTTAGTGAATCCCAAACAGTGTTACCGCTTGAATCTCCCTTATCCCTCTGTTATCTGAAGCTGACCTAGATTAACAAGGTAAATGATTTGTCTTGATTTCATCAATGTGTTCTTGTTGGGGGGCATTTGAGGTTGGAGTTTGGTTGGTTTTTTTTTAATGGGCAGTTTTGTTGTGGGCTTGGGTTTTGTGCTTTTTTTTTTTTTAATGGAGATAAGGCACTGAAGCCAGCCATTTGGTCTTCGAACATGGCTTTTTTGACCAGTGAAGACATGGCCACTGGTATACAGAAACATTTTTAAAAATTATATTTACAAGAGGCAGGAAGAAAATAACGAGTCAGTTGCAGGAAATTCCCAGCTGTTTTATGTCCCATGCTTTTAATTTGCCTTATTGCTTGGTATTTGATAGAGAAAATAAGTCTTACTTTGAAGAGGTCCATTATGTGGGAAGATTTGAGGAGGGTTAGCTAAGACACAGTGAGGAGTCTTTCCAACAAAGTTTGTTTCCCATTTAAAATTTTTGCTTCCAATTGAACTTTTTTAAACCAATAGTCACAAATATTAACTGAAACTTCTTAATTTAGTGGAAGTAAATGTTGTGTCCCCCTTGTGTTTTACTCACTTGATAGCTCTTTTTTACTAGTACTAAGTTTTTCTTTGTCCCTTGTGGTTGAAGTTTCTATTAGATGTTTCTTTTGCACAGTGAACAGAAATTGTTACTGATTTCTTACTCTCTAAAATCAATAACAGAATATCATGGAGAATCATCACACAGGTAAAGGACCTGAGCAGCATGTATGATACCATAAGTAACTTGAAGGTTCCAAGTAGGCAAAAATCAAGTTTGTATGCATTTATCTCAGTTTTCATTTAACTGGTGATATGTTACTGTTAGCAGGTATGTTTTACTTCATTAGGTAGCGAGACATTGTTTATTCACTGCACTACTTTCCAAAAATCTTGGTAATTAATGAACTGACTTCTCCAATCTGTGGCAGTAAGTTCACCATGTAATAAAAACCTTAGCATGTTGTCTATACATACACATCTGTTTCTAGGAAGGCACTTGTATTTTAGGTAGCTGTCACTTTGCAGTGGTTGCAGAGAGCTTTGTCAGAGTACTTTGGGGCTTGCAC